GAAAGAGAGACTCTGTGTGTGTGTGTGTGTGTGTGTGTGTGTGTGTGTGTGTGTGTGTGTGTGGAGGAGAGAGAGAAAGAGAGGAAAAATGCCAAGAGTCTACACAGTGAGTTCACTTGAGGACTTGTCGATATTCTCATTCTTTGGGTGTCTGTATTATATATTTATGTCACACTAATTGTCTGTGGAATGGTATATTATTGTCTTGACTTGTATATTTATCCAGATGCATTCATTCTCAAAAACTGTTGCTGTAATTACTAAAAAAAAAAAAACAGGCAAAGTAACATGACTATTTTGTAGCTTGCTTGTCATATATTTCTTGGTTCTGGGGATTGTCATGTTTTCGTCTCCATACTATGTGTTCTTTATATTTCATTTTAGAAATTATGTAATCAATTGGTTCAATCACTATAAAAACAAAGGGTACACTGCTAAATAAGCTCCTCTTTACCCACAAGCTAACCACACGTTAGCTAGACACATAAATAGATCTTGACAGCAGAAAATGTTTCAGCAAACTGAAACATTAGCAGGAATTGTAACTGTTCCCCAGACTGACTACAGAAGTCACCATTTACTACACTACAACCAGCCTCACCTGAACAGAATGTGATACAGATCCAACACGAGGTGCATTAGAAGTAAGAAGTCACACTTTTTGACTGTAGCTCTTTTTTGTTCTTATTGCACTGGAGATTTTCACATAGCTGACACATACAAAAAGCAGGTGAATGCAAACGCATCCCCTGGCTTGTTGTTGCATGGTGGGAAATGTAGGAAATCAACCTAAACAAAACAGGAGATGAGGCTGGCTGAAGGAATGTGAGCACAAAAGAAACGAGTAACACGCCTGTCATTTTTTTAATGGTGTACTTCCATCATCACAGGTCAGCCCTGGCAAGCTGAGGCGTCCTGAGCTCCTCCCGAGTCAACACACTTGCGCTTCTGATGCGCTGTAAAACACGTTGTTTATCATGCACATCTTGATCACATGGGGGCGGTGCCAGTCACTGAGAAGCGACACATAACTCGTAGTTGGTGTGCTGTTACCAGCTTGGTGCTAGGCATTATTTTAACCCCAGTTTGTCGCCAGTTAATGAGTGGCTTTTTGTTCAGGGATGGACTATATTTCATTGCTACGTTGACCTTAGCTGAATGTCACTGAGCATCTCCTCTCCAATACTGACTGTGCACATGCTGACCCTGCAGCAGCAGCAGCAGCAGCAGCAGCAGCAGCAGCGCACCAGATCAATACATGCTCTGCTTGTGTTTTGACTCTACAGGGCGCGTATGTGAAGAGATCTTGCACTTTTATCAAAGGTGATAATAATGCTGAGAAGGAAAGGGCAAGGAGGTGCGTCCTCCAAACAGAGGACATGATGGCTACAGTTTAGCACATGTAGGCAAGAAAAGGCCCTCACAAACAGAAACTACATGTTTGTGCCTGTAATAACGCTGCCTACCGATAGCAAACTGACACATGATATCTGATTGTTCTGTTGAGCAGGTGGTGCATTGAAATGCGTGTGTTTGTGACTGTACAGCATGCCTCTTCAGGTAAATTTAAAGACATAACAGTTAACCTCTTATAAAGGTAAGATTGTAAAATATCTAGCTGGAATACAGGCTACACAATTGGAAGCTACGGTGCTGCTCCTTTCAACATGACACAAAAGATATAAAGGTGTTTTTATCTACTGACACAGCACAGCACTAAAAGGTTACCATCCAAATTTTAGGGGCAGTCAGTGTATTGTTGAAAGTAAATGACAATAAATGAGCTAAACTCACCACTGTGTACTACTGCAGCTAAATTAAACAACATTATACCAAGTGAAACTGCAGTAACACATTGTTTTAAAATAATGTTTGTTCAATAATCCTTACAATACTGTGATAAGCTTTAGCTGGCCTAGCCAAGTGATATGAGATGCAAGGTAGCAGGCCAGTGACTGTGTTAAATGCTTGACTGTGGTCACAGATGTGCATCTGTGTTACGGTCTAGTCTAGAAAGTAGTCAGCCACAGGATCGATAGACAAACCGACGCGCGCGCGTCAGTCATGAGTTATGTATCAGCATCTGTGCCGTTTAAACCTAATTCATAACGCAGACATTAGTATTTATTGAACGTCAGTTTGCAGAAGAGCAAAAGTTTAAGAAAGGATTAGGTCTGACCAAAAATGACTGTTGCCTAATAAACATGATAGGGAAACACAGGGTTGATAAAATCTCATTAAAACACTAACAGGGCTGAATTATCTTCTGGTTACTTTTTTATCTACACACAATATTTGTTTACTTTTCTTGGAGTCTATAAGCTAGCAAATAATAATGTTACTTCATATTGTTCTAATGGTCACAGAGCTGCTTAATGCTGCTTAATGCACACGGAGGAAGAAACTGGCATCACATTCTGATCGTGCACTATTTATCAAGGCTACATAAGCTGTAATTAATGGCTTTATTAAATAAATGTTGACTAATGTTTTACAGATCAGTTATAAGCCACTAATTACATTACAACAGGTTTTGGGTTTCCAGGTTGAGGAAATTTCTCCACTTTACTAATACTTAAATTCACTGGGTTTCCCTTTGTGTAATAATCAGTAAACATTGAAACTACTTATGAGTGTAAATAAACTATTCATGAAGGGCTGCATAATACCATCAAATTTATAGGTAAATGTTAAGAAGCTGTCTATTAATGGAGTTCGATCCAAGTGCTCTGCAGCCCTTTTCCTCAATGCAAGTGGTCAAAATGTTCACATGAGGACTTTGGGTCATTAATGGGACTTTGTAAAACCTGGCAACCCAAAAGTTGTTCTTATTATAACTATAAATGCCCCCAGAGCACAAAACCTGCAACTTAAGAAAACACATGCAAACACATTTTTGTCTACACATGCAAATAAAGAAAACATTTACAAAAAAACATGTACACCAATTTAGAAACATATGCAAGTGAAAAGGATGCATTTGCAGAAAACACAAAATAGAGAAAAGCGAACCAACAAGATTTTCTCTTTTTTTGCATGTGGTTGGCTTTGTGTTGGATGTTGACAGACTGTTTCAGCATCTGGTTGTTTTTTCTACCCGCATGTATTTCAGTATTTGGTAGAGCATTATGTATTTGGTTGTATAATCTCACTTAAGGTGTGATGTTGAATTGGTGACAAGGCCTATAAAGTACTGGTAAATGATTTATCAACCAGTAACAGAACCATTATTTACACCTTATGAACCGTTAGAAATTGTGCTTTGCCAGAACGTGATGAAATAGTCATTTCTGAGTACGTCGTGGGTGTGGCCCAATTTGCACATCACGCCATGACAACAGACCTACACGTCATCACCATTCTTATCCGGAAATGGGGATTCACATTGCAGTTAATTTAGAAATATATGATTCAGGAAAACTATTAAGATAAAGCAAATAAGATGAATACGTGACATGTCTAAATAGTTCCGGAAGGCTACAGGAGAGCAACAGGCATCTCCTACACGGTGTCACCGTTCTCCATGCTCCTGTTTCATTCTGCTGAGAGGCACTAGGTTGGGTTGCAGCCCCTCTTGTCTCCTGCCTCTTGTGTTTGTCTGCCTGTGTGGCCGGGGTCAGACACCCAGGCTCCGTGTACACTGGCTCTGTAGAGGCATGAATGGGGACGCGCCGAGGGTTAGAGGGCTTTTATGAATGAGCCAGCGTCACGCCACCACAGCGCAAACAACCCCTCCGGTGCCCTTCGCCCTTCCACCCCCACAGACAGAGATCTGCAAGGCAGGCATTCCTACCGAGCACAGCCCCGTGTAGTCTGACAGAAACAGAGAAGCTGCCGATAAAGGCTAATGGCGTTGTAAAAGGCAAACGGGGAGCCAGCAGTTTAAATAGTTCCAGCACGCCTACTCATATGTCTGCACCGTTTCACTCGAGCCTTAAAGGGGCTGGAATCGGCTGAGGCTTGCCTGCAACCCTGCACTGAAAGCCTACGTGTTCGAGGCTGTGGTGGTCTGTCGGTGTTAACTATAATAACCAAGGGCACGGCTATAGGCTCCGCGCTCTGCTCGGAATGATGCGTAATTCAGATCAGTCTAACGTTAGTTTCTCGTGGTAAAGCTTCGTGCGCTGCCCTATAGGCCCGTGGGTGCCATATAAACAAGTCTAGGCCTGCATATAACGGGGCTCTTTAAGTACATTTTGCAAGGCGCAACAGCTCGATCCACTGATCTGTCTGCCAGACACGAGCTTCTAAGGCTCGAGTCGAAGTGAAACGCGCGTATTTTTCAGAGCAAGTCGTCGTTTACAATCGGTATTTTTATGAATGGAGCGCGGTAGGCTATGCAAATGAGGGCGATTGAGAAAGAGATGGCGGATGAGGCATATCGGATATCTCATATCCTGTGAGACTTCCCCTTCGGTTGGAAGCAAACACACAGATGTGGCCAAATAACGAAGCGAAATTGCTTCTGTAAACGCAGTCGGGTTTTTAGTTTTACTGTATAACGTACAAACAAGAGGCGCGTGATCTCACAGCTGTTTGTGTATTTATAAAAGGTGTAACTTCGGGCGTGTTTGAGTTTCTAAGTTACGCTGCAACAGGGCCTGCTCTCTCGCCTCGGGTCCTTTCAGAAAATGTTTCCGATCCGCCCACGCTTATTCCCCTCCACCTCCTACTCTTCTTTCTCTCTTGCCTTCTCAAGACTAGTTTACACCAAGGGGGGGCAAATCCCTCTTCTACACAACTATTGATTCACAGTAGCATTACTCACAGACTCTCATCGACTGAATAAAATATAACAAATGCAAAGCACAGTCTACATGAAAACCAGCGTTGTAAGATTTAGGTTGCACATTCCAACAAGCTGCCCCAATCATCTCCCACTTGTAGGCGCTGGGAGACGCGAAAACAAGAGAGAGAGAGAGAGAGAGAGAGACGAATAGAGAAACCGTTGAAGCACTATTACTTACTCGTTTGGGTGTGTTTCTTCTATCATTTTCTCGTTTCACCTCAGGTAACGTACCGCGGAGGTTGCATACTTTTCCCTCGTCATTCTTTCACCGCAGATCCTCCGATTCCGTCTCCAATTCCGCATAAATCCCCCCTGCGCCTTTGTGCGAGTGTCGGGCTCTTTGCCTCGCTTTCGTCTGGCTGTGCTTCCGTCTGCTCTTCCTCACTTTCTCCTTATTTTCCCCCCGCAGCCACCCAGTTACTGCTGGATCGCAAATGCTTCTAGAACTTCAATAACCCATCGCCTTCACGAGGTAAAGTAGCCAATACAGCCAACACAGTAGCCCAATACAGTTCTTCTCTTCGCTCTCCCAACCTCCACAAACATACACACGCACTCACACACAAAGCACACACTCCAATTTTAAGTCCTCAGGTGCATGTTTCCACCGACGACTCCGTTTCCAGTTGTGCGTAAAAAGCGCGTCGTCGCTGTTGTTACCGAGGGGTGGCCCCGCTAGAGCCCCATCTCTCTCTACTCCATGTTGGATTGCAGGCAACCGAGCAGCTCCAGCGACGCAAGGGGAGGGAGGAGGGAGAGAGAGGGTGGTGGGAGGCGGGAGGAGGGAGAGAGAAGGTGGTGGGAGGGGGGGGAGGCGGGGGGCAGGCCGGAAGCGGTGACGTCGATCTACTTTTTGATGAAGGGCCCACGGTGCCTGCAAACCGTAGGGACCCTTGATAAATAACACCCCCCTCGTTTATCTTCGTGGGATCCTTAATTTTATGTCACTTTTGTTTTCAAGCAAAAAGTTTGAATTGGGAAATTCTACGTTTTCCACAAGAGAGTGAAGTAAACTCTCCACTTAACACATTAAAATTCCAAATAAACTAGATTAATATACGTATATGTTATAGAAAATACCAGACTCGTGCAATAAAATAATGCTTGTGGAGCTGGTTTGGTGGAAGATTCTGCTCATAACAAGTATGGACTGAATCACTATTTGCCTTTGAATGACCCAATAAAGATCTAAGTGTGGTCTTCATAAAGTCCAACACCATGTCTGATGAAACAGGAAAGATTAAATGGGGGTTCTGCCTATAATCTGGTTCATTTGTAGCACCGTGTCTTTGGGGACTCACGGCTAATCCAGCACAGCTCTGTGTGGGAAACCTGCTCGGTGGATTAATGATCTCCTAAAGTCTGGGGATCCTGGATGATTGGCGCTTTTTATTTATTAATTGCTGCCAGATTTGTGTTGCTGCAACAAACAGTTGCCAGCGTCGTTTTCAGGATCGTGCTAGAGAGAAAAAGCAACATGTCTTGGTGTGAAACTGTGGTCCTGTAGCGCCCCCACCTGGTGAGATGTCCTACACGCTTGGGTTTCTAGTGATAAATCCTACAATGTAACAGTAACACTTTAAAAATAATAATTAGACCTCAATCTAAAATGCCTCCAATCTACGTTGTCCTTTTAATTTTAAAATACAAATTGTGCATTTAAAAAAAAAGATATTCTAAAACCTTTCATGACTTAACCATTATTACAAGTAGCCCATATATTAAACCAAGTAACTTTAGACTCATAAGTGTCATGTGATGTGTCTTAATAAGCATTAGTGATTCATGGGAACAGCTCATTACTACCTGGATGGATCATGAGACTGTGGGGCACAAACATGTAAAAGGCCTCTAGGAGCAAAACTCAGTCTGAGCAACCATGTGATTTGTAGTCAGTGTGTGTCTTCTTGTGGTTGTTTTTGTCCCTTTGTAATTACTTCTGTGTCTGTTTGTAGCCATTTTGTGTTATGTTTACTCATTTTACGCCTCTTTGTTTTGTGTCTTTTAACAATTGTTTTGCATGTCGTAGTTGTTTTGTGTACTTTTGCTGTCTTTGAGGGTTTCTCTCTCTCTTTTTAGTTCTTTTCTGTCTCCTTGTAGGTGTTTTGCATCTTTTTTCGCTTTTTGTGGTCATTTGTTTGACTTTCCAACAGAAAGGTCAACAGTCAGGTCAACCCCCGACTCCCTGTGCTCCTGGGCATGTTCCTGTTCAATAATCCATCTATGAGTATTACCACAGCATTGCTGAAATACAGGAGAACCACAGCACGGGGTGATTGTGGCCGTTTAGTCAAAGGGGCAGCTGTGTGAATTATAGACTCAATGGCAAACAACAGTTCTTTCCTCACAACTGGAGGTTCAAATGTCATCTTTCACTGCCTCTCAGAATGTTTGAAATTCACAGTTTGGCCGCATAGTTACCTTGGATATTTAACAGCTCTGGGGAGCACTTTCTACATAAAATCTAGTTTGTCTAATGCCTTATCAACATTAAGCACAAAGGGGGCTATGCTATTCCCACTAACAGCTGCAAATCTAATTTATTACAATGGAATTCTGTTGTTTGTTCACTTCTGAGAAGGTTCATAAGGGAGTAATAGAAACTGGATCCACTGATGTGTTTTCACTGTCTGAGAAAAAAAAAACTTGCATGCATGTAATGTTCTTCTTATCTGTGGTGAAATTCCATCTTGAGGATTTTGGGGTATTTGTGCACTATGGAGTTTCATCTTCTGAACATTATGGTTTGTGCCATTTGGTTTTTGTCTTCAGAAACATTTGGAGCCGTGCGTTTGACTTATCTGGCAACTATGAAGCAGGTTATTATGGCCAAACTTGTTTCTCATCATTCAGTAAAACTACAGCCTTCAGGCAGGTTAGGAGGGTAAACTTTTTTTTTTAACCTGTATTAATGTTTTATTGAAATCTGAGAGTTTATAGTATCAACTTAATGACATCATATTATTGGAACAAGCATGTCCACATTTGCCAAAAAGAACTTGTAATAGTTCTATACTGAACACAAACATTTAGGGTGTATACTGCCACCACGTGGTCTAAATGTGGAAATTCACAGTAATGTCAGTCTCAATGTCTCTACAATCATTTTAAAGGGGAATCCTTTCTCCACTGCCAACCTGTTTTGTCTTGGATTCTCGGGAAACAGGCAGATTGATATGAAATCAGTTGTTTCTCTACCAGTAAATAACCTTCAGCTTCAAACTGTCAGCATCTGGCACGTTCTAAAATAGGTTTTAAAAGTAGGCGTATTTCAGAACATCCAGATATTCCTTGTTTTTGACTTGGCATCAGTTTTTAAATCTGGTATGTTACCTAAAACTAGGTAAATGAGGTGCAGCCTCATTTAAAGTAACATCAGTGGGGATGGTATTTTGCTATGCCTGGTTTGTGTCAGTGTGTGTTGTTGGTGTTGTTGTTGTTGTTGTTGTTGTTGTTGTTGTTTTTGCCCTATGCTGTCCTGATATTTGGTTTACATTCTGTATGTACTTCATGCAACAGAAATTTCACCTCAGGCTGTTGAAGGGTCATTCATCCAATGCTCCCTTGTGTATGTAAACGGTTAATGAGTCTACATGCTCAAAGTCGGCCTCCCATTCATCATCAGTGGCGTAAACTCTACAGATGTAGTCTCAGGTTTCTGTTAGGGAGACAGATACTCACAACATCCCAATGTCACAGTGAAATCATTCATGAGGCAGGGTCCTACTCCTCACTAAACACCACCTTGTCAAACCTCTCAGACTTGCTGGTTGTTGGCCTTGTGTTGTATGATTGTGTTAAACATTTTCAAAAGGCACAGATGATCTTGACTGGACAAACAATAAGCCTTTCACAGCATTTAGTGTGACTTTATAAACAGGGCTGCAACAAGCAGTTATTTTAATTATTGATTAATCTGCCAATTTTCTCACTTAATTGATTCAATGTTTAGTTTATATACGATCTCTCATTATTCATGTCCCAGTTTACAAGACTGTTGTGACTCAAGGAGGCTTAAACCTTTTGGTCACACATGTTTTAGGAGCAGCCGCAGTTACAACAGTAAGTACATAGAAGTTTTTAAGGGGGTCCGTTTGTCTTTTAATTCAAACCACACCACACTGTGCTCCCCCTTCTGAGTATCACAAAACATTCATCAGCCCTGACCCCTTGACCTCTACATCCCCCACACCCCCTGCCAATCAGAATCAAACCAGACAGCGTCGCTCTGTCTGTACCTTTTGTACACGTACATAAAAGCCTTCTTTCCCTTCAACAGTGCTTACACGCCCAAAGCTACACTCCCCGTTAAAAACCAACATTGGCACTGCCCTGCACACTAATGACCCCCAAAGCATACGTGTGCCCCTCCAACCCCCTACACTCCACACCCAGGTGATAAACGCAGTCGCCCCAGTGTGTGGTGTCAGGTCAAAGACTGGCCTAAAATCTTGTTGGATTTTAGGGCAAATGGAAGTCACTGGGTTGTGGTCTACCAGTCCTCAAGTCTGTACTGGCCTGTTCCAGCAGAGGGAGACAAATGTTCATGTTACTGCTCACGTCTTTCCAAACACAAAAGCCGAATCACCTCCTTTTGATCTAATGTCCACATCCTGTTCCATTTTAAGACAGTGTGCCCAATATTATTTAATGGATCTTTAATGGTTAAGCAATCATCAGAATAGTTGCTGATTAATTTTCTTCCCATTGAGTAATTGATTAGTACATTAATCGAGATGAGGTGGGTTGTTTTCATACCAGCTGGCTATCAGACTGTTGATCCATTCTGGATCTGCCAAAAGCCAGGTTTGTCAATTAATCCTTTAGTTGCTTGACAGAAAGTTAATAGAAATTATTCAGATGCTTTAGCTCTGGCTTTTCAAATGTGAAGATTTCCTGCTTTTCCTTTATGTACAAAACTTGGTATCATTGGGTTTTGTGCAGTTTGTACTAAACAAGCAACTTAATGATGATCACTTTTGTTTCAAGGAGACTCTGATGGACAGTTTTTCACTATTATCTAATGTTTTATGGGTCAAATGATTAATCAGTTACCTGAGAAAGTAACTTGCACATTAGTTGCATCCCCCAGTTTTACTCCTGCTGCACCATTAACAGCAAAGTTCTTGCTTAAACCTAACTATTTGGACATAGCACCTCAGAAAATCCTCATATGTGCAGTGTGTATGTATAAGGTCGGCAGTGGGGTCGTTAGTGTTTAGTCTGGATTTTTTTTCTTAGTGGCACCTCTAGTTTTCTATTCGCTGATAGTTTAAACCCTTCTCAACAAATACAGACCATCTTGGTAAATATTTTTCATCTACAGGACATAATGTCTATGTTCAGTATAAATATTTCCACTTTAATCAATAATATAGACACAAACACACTGTAAAAAAAAGATGCCAAGTGTGGAATTTTAAATCTTGGTACCTTCTGTAATTTTAACTGTAAAGAAGTGAGACCATGGTG